TTAGGTGGGTACTCAGGTGTATAATGTTTAACTGGAGTGGTTATGCTTGGCAATTTTTTCAGCTTTAATCATTCTACTTCACACTTTAGGTGCTTTGTAGTTCTCTTTGAAGCTGGGCCAGGCCGTTCAGTAATAGAATTTGCAGGTACCGCCTCCTGCTGCCGGATGAGAGTGATGGAGTCGGTCGCTATAGCAACATGGGCTGTTTGATCCATCGACTTGTCAAGATTGTTTTCTGTGTCTTCCACAACATTATTTGTAACGCAATTTGGAATAAGTGCTGCCTAATGCGAGCTCTTTAAAAAGCGCTTACGGATTGATTAATGATGAGTTGGTTTGGTTTATTTAGAGGAGCTTGTGGTTGATCAGGAGTTAATGGATGGGCTGTGGGAAAGAGCAAGATCTTGGATGGATGGGTCAGATTAACTTCCCTTTAGGCAGAGTCTCGAAGCAAACCAGCCATACACCATCCCCCCTATATCTGCACCCTATTTTCTCAGTCAAGGTGCTGTCCTAGATTTAAACTTCTGTGGGATGAGTGAAACAGTAAGGCCACATTCTTGAAGAGTAGTGTGAAGAAGGGACTGTATTTTAGCTGGGTTTTTTTCTTGTGTAGAGGATTCATGTGAGCATTCCATGATTGACAGCACATTTAGCAACCATGTTTACAAAGCGCCTTCGCCTACTCCAATTTAATCCAATTGAACAAGACCCATGTAAACCCATGTGCTATGATTGAGATGTGAAAACCCAGTTCGTTTGCAAAAACTGGATGAACCGTTTCCGTGATAACCGAAATCTCCGCCTACTCTAATTTAATTCGATTGATAACAGTGCATGTAAACCTGTGCGCGCCAACGGAGATGTGAAAAACCATCCATGTGGGGGTGCTGGTGCGCGCAGATTGTAATGCATTTTATCGTGTATGTGTAAGGGTCAATCGGATTGGAATGAGACATCGAGCAGTAGTGCGTTTGAGGGCACTGGGGAAAACACAACGTACAAATTACAAATGTACTACATTTGTTTGGGATCAAAACTTGCTGCTGTTGTTTTGTTTTGTTGCGCAAAAATCAAATGCCCACGGCAATGTTATTTACAATTACAGTTACAAAGTTTGAGTAATAATGGTAAATTATGAGACGGCATTGATGTTCTTATGCTTTGTAAAAACACTCACTGTGGTTAAGGAGAGACTGTGTAAACCAGATCCTTCAGAGACAAGACAGGCAGATGCATTTAGGAGTTCTGGAAAAAAACATTCATAAATTAGAAATAAAGGCTACTCAAGCGGATACAGTACCTCGCTGCATATGTTTTATTGTTTGATTTTGTTACGCCAAAAGAAACATTTCACAGGAATCATGGTGCGTTCAATAGTGCTGTGGAAAGTAAGTAATGTACATGCAAACTCCATTCAGAAAGGCCCTATTCCGACCGGGATTCGAACCCAAGACCTTCTTGCTGAGAAGCAAGAGTGCTATCATCCATTGTGCCGCCCGTTTTGGCAGTGGTGAGTCTACAGGACTCATGTGGTATCAGATAAAACATTAATTAATTCATTCATTTTCTACACCTTTTATTCGTCCATTTCTGGGTCGGGGGGGGGATAGTAACCCAGATAAAACAGGATGGGTTGATATTGCAATGATATAATAGTGTAGAAAGCATGTAATACGACACTTTTGTCTGTGGCAGAACACATTGAGGCTGGTGACTGGTTCTTGTGTCTGTCCTGTGTAAACAAACAGACATCACATGGAGCCGAGAGAGACAGCTGGTGATCGCTGCGTGTTGCCAAAGGGACCAGAGCAAACATTGTCTTCTCTCTCCTGTGGATCCCAACAGATACCAGCTGTTTGTAAAGCTATTCTATACATTTTATATTGCTAGTTGATTTCAGCAGAGTATTCATGAGTGTTTGTGTGAGAGCATAATGAAATCAGGGTGCTTTCAGGCGGAGTGGAGGTGCAGAGTGTTGCCTGTGCCATCTCTTTATTAACACGTGTCATCACAGCAGCAGGGGCCCCTCTCTCTCTACTGCTTTCACTGCTTTATTAAATCACCTGCTGCAGCGGCTTCCAATGTACACAGGTGCAGCAAGGTCTGCACACATCAATTTGTATTTATCAAACGTATTCACTATGCAAGGCAATTAAAAAAGCATTGCTCATTTATATTATTATAAAAGCAAAGTGGTGGTGCTGATGTTACTGCTGCTCACAGTATGTTCAAAGGAAAGAATCAAACACAAAACAAAATCAGTAATGTATCTGTTATTAAAACAACAATTATATCATGACTGCAGCTATTTGTGACTCATTATGTCTATTGTACAACTTATAAAATACATTGCATTGAATATGGATTGTACTCATTGAATCTAGGGTAAAAAATAAATAAATATCAATATTGTTTTTGTGCCACTCTCCCAGTCTTGTTTTAGTCTCATTGTCTATATTTGCATGCGAAAGCCAGATCTCGTCAGACCTTTGAACCTGTGCAGGGAAGTTCCAGGTAAGCCCTGTGATGGGAGACCTCTGGAAACACCAGGTGTCACAGAGGGGCGGCTGTAAAGGGCCAAAGTGTTGTTGTGTACTTAGGCAAGACACTTCACCTACATTGTGCGTTAATGTGCACATTCTGGTTGCCTCACTTGACTGTCAGTGTGCCCCATGGCAGCTGTGTCTAAAGTAGTAGTTTATCATCACCGTTTATTGTGTCAAAATATGACAGCAACTTTCATATATTCTTCAATTCAATATTATTGGGCTGGAAAGATTTTTTTTTTCTTTTCAAATTTCACATCTCACAGTAATGTCTCTTCAGCATGCAAAACCGACATACAGGCTTTTTTTCTTACGCAATTGTCCCTTCTATCTTTGGACCCGAGCTGAAGTCATTAAACATTCAGTGACTTCTTTTTAGGCAGTCCATTGGAAAGCCTGCGGCGAAAACATGGTTCTTCTAAATATTTAATTGGATTAAGTCACAACATGGACAATGCCTCTTTAGAGAGTGTATGACTGTGATTCACACCCAAACATTTCCATATCTTCATATTTATTCTCTACCAACTCTCATCTATGTCCTTCCTAATTAACAAGTGTGCTCCGCAGGAATAAATGAAGTTTATAATTGATTCTCAGAAGAACAATTAGGACAATTTCTTTGCACAAACAGAACACAAGGCCCCATCGCTGCCCGTGGCTTCTCAGCGCGTTTCCACAGCCGCCCCATATTTAATAACATCAAACGGCGTCTCTGGGTTTGAAGCGGGCCCCCGTCGCGTGATTGAAGATGGTTTAATAATTCAGAGCTGTTGGAAGCAGTGTAAACGTTGTCAGAATCCACCACTGCATGGGACCTGCCAATACCAGATGGCCAAGACCATGTGGGGGAGAGAGAGAGAACCACCCATTCACATTCAGATTCTGTTCATTTTGTCGTTTGTAGATTTAATCTATATTGAAAGAAGTTTGATGGAGGGAACAATCAGGAGGCAGCGAACCAAGCTGGTGGATTGATACCTGAAATTATTACATTTTGTATTTTAAATTTTATATTTTCTTACCGTAAAATATCAAATGATTGCTCGGGCTAATAAGTTGAGCGATTAAGCTATTTTGAAGAGCAATACGTGGATCATTTTTTTGACAAATTTTTCAGTGTTCTATTTGTATTATTAGCAAATGTGTTTTGGTCTTCAAAACCCGCAAGCTGTGTATAATTTTAAAGCTTTTGTTCTCATCTTCATTAATAAACAAGCGCAAGCAACACCAGACACTACACATCAATATAAGTTTTCCAATAAGTAGTGCTGTGAGTCACTATTTGACGCTTATAGGGCTGAGAGTCTGAGAGTCGGGAAAGGTTCATCTAAAAATGGCCCAAAAATATATGCATTTCCAAACTAGAGCTTTAGATGCATTATAAGACAGTTATTGGATTTTTTCGATTATTTTTTTTATGGGCTTGGGCCTATTTTAAATGTAGATTACAGCCATAGTTTAATATAACTTGAGCGGATGACATCACAGGAGGGACATTCCATATTCATCCTAAAGTTTGGCACAATTTAAAACACATTTATATAAAATATATAAAGATATAATCTTTCATAATCATAATTTAATTTGACCAATAATATGTTCTGCAAACATCTCGGGAGTTTTTGTCCATAGTTACGGTAATATACTTTCATATCACATTTTTTCTAACCTACACTTTTTTCTTACATATTCATTGTGAGGTTAGTGGAATCGTGCTGGTTGTATTTGTACTGTAACTCAAGACTACTGTCATTTCTATGTTTCCGTGTTTTGTTTTTATCTTTTGTAATCAGAGTCTCGTCTGCACTTGTGAGGTTTTTCTGGCAACTTTGCACAAGCGGCTTTGTAAACAACATGAGGCTCAAAATAGTTCAGGATTTTCTGGTGTGCTATTGTTTCTCTGTCTATTTTGTGAATACTGTCTAGTATAGTTCTTATTCACTTTAATAATTACAATTTAAGAGATCCTTTGTTTGTCCCACAGGGGAAATTTCAGTGTTGCATCACAGGTTACAGAATAGTAAGAAAGAGAACACAACACAAGATAAGTGAATATTAAGTATAACACAAACCTTATCTTTAATAAACTAAATAAAATTAAATCTCTACTAAAATACTGTATACTCCAGTGGAATAAATATATACTTTGCATTCATCTGCAGTACAAGCATGAGAATGTGAATAATGCTTTATTTTATGATCTAAAGTCATGGGTGCTGGGTGTATGATATTTACCAGATTAAGTCATCTGTAAATATTTGATGGAGTTAGCCTGTGTTGTTCCAACACTGTTGACCAGGTACTAGATACAAAGGAAGATTCCATATGACGGCATTATGCACTGAGCTTTATATAATACATATTGGTTATGTGAGGATGTATGTATTATTATATGTTAGATAAATGTATGTAAGTGAGAGTTGACTTTATTCCATCTTGTGTGAACAGAGCTGCCGGAGAACTGGACGGACACTAAGGAGACTCTGCTGGAGGGCATGGTGTTCAATGTGAAGTATCTGGGCATGACTTTGGTGGGGCAGCCCAAAGGAGAGGACATGGCCTCCGCTGCCATTCACAGGATCGTGGCCACAGTGAGTTCATCCTCTGCACCTTTTCCACATTTCACGAGGAAGGGCCGGGCCACTGGAATAGAATGCAATTGAGCCTCCAGACTCCGGCTGGGGGAGAATCCGGCTGGGGGAGACTCCGGCTGGGGGAGACTCCGGCTGGGGGAGACTCCGGTTGGGGGAGACTCTGGCTAGGGGAGATCCAGGTGATCAGTCCAGCAGCACCAGATTTTTTGACATTGTCCAACCGAAGACGATTACTCTCAAAAGTAGAAACACAGAGACACATACTGTAGGGACAAGCTGAAGATATCAATTTCACTGATTCTTTTTATAGACTGTCCCTGGTGGATATGAGTGAAATAACATCCTCAAACTGCCATCTGCTCTATTCGATTCAATTAAACATAGTTTGGATTTTCTCCTGGAATACTCTGCAGAATGACCTTTAGCTTGACATGGCAAAATAACATTGATTTAAAACAAAAAAAAAACATGTAAATTGCTATGTATGCTGCCTGTGCCTGTTTTGAGTAAAATTATGGAATAACCATACTTGAACAACTGAAAGTATATTTTCATAGAAATAACCTTTGTACCAATTACCAACATGCACACAGAGGGGACACTCCACTGCCACAGCCCTGGTTCAAATGACAGACGACTGGATGAAGGCAATAGATGGAAAGAGAATAGTGTTACTATAATAATGGATTTTAAACTTAAATGTTGTGGTTTGATACTTCTGAATTGCAATGGGTTAAGAGAGTGTTTTCCAATGTGTCGTGTTCTGATCCAGGACCTGTGAGCTGTGGAGTGTCTCAGGGCACTTCTCCTTTTACGGCGAAGTGGCTACCAATAAAAGATAGATCATCATTAGGCCCTAGCCCGGACTGGGGTAAGGGCCTATTCCTTTCACAATGGTGAATGCAAGAGGTTGCGGTGCGTGACGGATGCACCGCAACCTCTTGACGGAGTGCCTGTCACGCACCATGACGGTTGACGATTCCCTAATCAATTGATGAAATAGTATTATAGACCTCTTTTATTTATGTAGACGGATATGTATGATGAATTACAGGATGTCACGTAACGTGTTTGGTAAAAAATAAAAACAAACTTCCATTCCCCTCACTAAAGTTTATTTCCCCTGCTCGTCACATGTGCCAAACACATGTGCTGAACACGGCGGTTACTGCTGTTGTCTCACAGCTGGTGGCATCTTGTCTGGCAATTGTCATTTGTTATAGATATTTAAATATGTACATAATTATGGCTTCTGTGGCATATATTGTACTGTATGTGGTCTCCTTTGGAACCCTGTCTGGCATGTGTGACGTCTTTCATGTTGTGGGACATCTAGGAGTTTCTTTGGGACCTTGTCTAGTACAGTCTCTGTGATACCTGTTCCCTGCTGTGTCCTATGTCCTATGAAAAGCACCACAATAATATGAAGTGAGAGGATGAACACAGGAATAAGTCCATATGAGGATTCAACATGAACACATGCTACAACCCTCCTCCTCCACTCCATCTCTCCACTGCCTCACACTGCCCTGATCTCTTTTGTCTGTCTCACAGCTGGTTTGTGGCATCTGGCATTTGTGTACTTCACTTTGGCCTTTTGGGCATCTGGTCTCGCATCTGACTTTTTACTGGCATCTTGTTAAGTATCTACTGAACACCCAGGTCTTAGAGCTCATCTTTTGCGACACACAAGACTGCCCATTTAAGGATTTACCTGTATTTGATAAGAACACATGGTTGAACCCTCCCCCTCCACTCCGTTTCTCCACTCTGTCTCTCCACTGCCTCACATGGTTCTGGTCATTTATGTCTGTATCACTGCTGCTTTATGGTTTTTGACAGATCTGGTTTTCTCTCTGGCACATTATTGACCTCTGCTCTGGCATCTGTCAGATGTGTGGGATCTGTTCTGTTGTAGATGTTTTTGTGACACCTGGTCACTGCAGTCTGTCCTGAAAAAGATATAAATGCATTGAAGTCGGAGGAGGGACAAATGTAATGTTCATATGACAATGTACCTGTATTTGATGTGAACACATGATATAACCCTCCTCCTCCACTCCGTCTCTCCACTGTCTGCATCATATGTTCCACACACATGAATTCACCGCACTTCATCAAATACAGATACAACTGTAAGCCACACCTGCACGTAATTTTCTGTGTTTGTTACTTTTTAAATGTTTTACTACATCTCTTATCTAAAAACAAAACACCTTAACCTTATACTCACATTTTTGTCCTGATCCCTGTTTTCAAGCCCAAAAAGAAAACATGGAGGGAAGAAACCTGTGAATCCAAGCTATACCACAAACATTAAAGGCAGTAAATGAAATCTCAACATATAAACAAACTATTTACACATTTTATAAGCTAATTTGGCTCATGTTGTGGCATTGTCAGCGGCTACAGCTCATCTGTGGCACCTGACGTGGCACCTTCTGTTAAACGGAAGCCTTTTGGCATCTGCTCTGATATTTTGTCTGACATCTTCTGTCTCACCACTCTGGTCACTGCTGTGTCCTATAAATAAGACCACAATGCATTGGAGTGAGGCACACATCAGGGACAAATGAAATGTTGATACAATGATGTACCTGTGTTTGGTTTGAACACGTAGGTACTGTAAACCCTCCTCCTCCACTCCGTCTCTCCACTGTCTGAAGTCATCTGTTCCACCTCAAGAAAACACATAACTCTATGCGACACCTGCACTGTGTATTTCTTTGTGTAAAGTTGTGTAAAGTAATGTGACAAAAACTAATGAACCTGAACTCACCAGTCATGTCCTTGTTCCTCTTTTTACTCAGAAAGAGAAAACCTCTGAATCTATGGAAGACTATTGGCACCTTCAATTGTCTATTCATTTGTCAAATGGCTATGCATTATGTTATTTTAGTATTTATTTAGTATTTGTATTTGTCAAAGTGTAATGAAGCTCTTCGCGAAAGTTCACTGTGGTAGACCCGGCCGCTGCTACAAGCCTGCTCATCCTCTACTCATTACACCAGCAAAACGCCCACATCCAATCCACCAATAACCACCAGGACAGCAAGTTAAAAGCCGGAGACGCCCACTTGCCGGCCTTCTGAAGTCTGCAAACTTCTGAAGCCTGCAAGGTGCATGTCGCTAACGCACCTGTTCGCAAATGCATGCGTTGTTCTGGAGGGGTCGCTTGTGCTCACGTGTTGCTCGTGCGCGTGGCCCTGCTGTCCTCAGTCTGGCTGCTCGTGGTCTGCTCCTCCTCCGCGTCCCTGCACCTGCTGTGGTTCGCGTGTCTCCACTGCTCTCCTCCTCTGTGGGCTGATCCGCGGGGCCCCTCCGCGGGTTTCTGTGCGGCTCGTTCCTCGTGGTCTGCTGCCGCGCGCAGACGGTCTGGCGGTGCCGTGCGTGTCCCTGCCTCCGATTGGCGGTGCCGCGTTGTCCCGTTGCTTTTCCCAAGTCTCCTGGCATGTGAGTACAGCGAGTGTGCTGACCGCGGACGGATTAATCCCGGAGTCTAGGCTGCAGGCGGCTGGTTTTTGCCCTACGCACTTGACTGCAGGCGTCAGTTTTCGCCCCGTGCTTGGTCTGCAGGCTCCGTTTTCACACGGTATTAGTATTAGATAGCAATATGGCCTACGTGCAGGACTGTACAAGGACTCTACAAGGACTCCATGTTATGACTATGATTTGACTGTCTCTTTGTGACACGTATGTCTTTCGATGTGTGACGTGACAATGACTATATAAACTGTGTACTGCCTTTATTCTGTCTGAGGAAAAGAAACAGAGTAAAACAGTGGAACTTGAGAGAAACTTAAATAAACTTCCAGAGTTTGGCACACCACGATCCGTCTCTGTCTGCTTAAATCCTAACAGATTTGGTGGAGAATGCGCGGCTCGGTTTGTGCCATTCTCTGGAGTGTTTTGAGGGAGTTTGCTCTGTTTCTTTTCCTCGGCGTGAGAGATCGGCATGCTGTGTCTGGGAGCGGAGATTCCAGCAGGCTGGAAGAGCTGTTCCTGGATGCTTCTTGTCGCTTCTGTCACTTTGTTTTTTAAATTGAATTTTTCGACGCGGAAAAGATGTTGGTCGACCTCTCGAACAGTCCTTGGACAAAGAATTAAGGTAAGCAGACACCTTTTTTAATATGTAAAGTCTGCATAATTGGATACTAGCTAAATTTTGAGCTGTCCCGGAGGTCTGTCCAAATCTCTCTAAATCAAATTTTCTTTGTTATGTCTTTGTCACGTCTTTGTCATGTCTTATGTTGTAGAAAACAGGTTAGCTGTGTGGGTAACCAGTCCCTATAGGAAAAAGGAACCCCTGACGTATCGGGGTCCCTGTCCTTTGAAGTAGTCAGGACAGAGAGAAAAAGGAACCCCTGACGTATCGGGGTCCCTGTCCTTTGAAGTAGTCAGGACAGAGAGAAAGGAACCCCTGACGTATCGGGGTCCCTGTCCTTTGAAGTAGTCAGGACAGAGAGAGAAAGGAACCCCTGACGTATCGGGGTCCCTGCCTTTGGAGTAGCCGGGGCAGAGAATAGAGAATAGAAAATAGTTAGTGAATCCATGGTGTAAACATAAAAGCAATAAAAAGGGAAACGTGTTAAGGAGGCCTTTGTTACAAAAGCTTTGAAATTGACGAATTTCAGGCTGATAAATGACAAAAGTAAAGAAGCAACAATATTTCAGTGATCACGGTTTAAATTACATACAGAAAAAGGGAGTTTTTTTGTTTTTTAGTTTGTTTTTGGCGTGAACAGAGTTCACCGGAGAATGCAGAGTTTTATCTAAAGTTGAGCTATGAGAGCTTTCGTGAGTTATTTACATTTTTTGCCGAGTTTTATCTACAGTTGAGCTATGAGAGGGATGTATCCAACAGTTGTTTTTGTTTTTTAGAAAGAGATTTTGAGTTTAAATTAGTTTGCTACCTCGATAAAATAGAAGCGTACGTTAAAGATAAGAGTGCCTTTTGTTACTAGTGTTGAAAGTGATCACTTCTAGATTTGGATGAC